GCAGCAAATCAGCATATTAGAATGATTTCTGAAGATCATGTGACACTGAAGACTGCTGAAAATTCAGCTTTGCATCGCAGGAATAAATTACACTTTACAATAGATTCACATAGAAAACAGTTATTCTAAATTGAAATAATATTTCACAATATTACTGTTTTTACTGTATTTTTGATCAAATAAATGCAGCCTTGGTGAGCATAATATACATAAATATATCTGTGAATATGTGTTGTACCTCATCGATCTGTTGAGGTGTGGAGAGAGAAAAGGCGGCTCTGACATACGGACACGGATCTGAGCTGTTGATGTGGAAAACTCCTCCAGGAACCAGAAGAACCTACAAACAAACACAATAAAACCGACAAGTATTCGAGATGATTATTCAAAGCCCTTTAATAAACACCTGCTGACCTTTTTTGATTAGAACTGAGACTTCGTGTTTACAGCTGTAATTCTCACTGTCAATGCTCAAACAAAAAGAGCAATGTTTGGAAAGCACCACACGGTTTACTTATTAAACTTATAATAATAAGCTGGAATAAGGAAAGTATTTTAACAACTAAAAACCTTCAGCTTTAAGCACAAATGTAAAAATGGCCATGAACATGTTTTCTAAATGAAGTACCGGTAAATGCAGTGAATGGTTCATAGGACTGGCATCATGTCCGCCTCAAACACTGAACGTGTGTGTGGGAGGCAAATCATGTGGTGTGTTTTCAGGATCAGGTGCTTCAGTTCATTTACATAAACACACACGCACACACACACAATATTCAAACATTGCTTTGGCAAAAGCCCCAGCAAACCTGCTGTATGTATCATGAAGCATCAACCACACATACAAATGACTTTGCCTTTGATAAAGGAAAGGGGTTTCATACAGCAGTGTGTGTGTATTTGCTCATGTAGCAAATGAAAACATAATCACATTCAGCACAAATGTAAACTGTATTACACAGATGCGTGTGAGTGTGTGTGTGAACCTCTTTCTCTAGCGCTCTCTCCATTATCAGCTGCTGTGTGTCTTTAATGCCCTTGAGTTTAATCCACAGGAACATGCCGGCCATGGGAGGATGCCATTCAGCTACATCTACAAAACACACAGGAGAGAAAGAGAGAAAGCCATCCAAGCTGTAGATGAGTTTGTTTCTTCATCAGATTTGGAGAAATGTAGCATTTCATCACTTACTCGCCAGTGGATGCTCTGCAGTGAATGGGTGCCGTCAGAATGAGAGTCCAAACAGCTGATAAAAACATCACAATAATCCACAAGTACTCCACACCACTCGTCTTGTCTTGTGAAGCAAAAAGCTGTGTTTTTGTAAGACTTTTGTAAAATCTTTAAGGAGTTTTTAAACATCACAATAATCCACAAGTAATCCACACCACTCCAGTCCATCAGTTAATGTCTTGTGAAGCCAAAAGCTGCGTGTTTGTAAGAAACAAATGCATCATTAAGAGGTTTTTAAATTCTAAACTGTTGCTTTCATACGAGTCCTCGATCCATAATATTGCATTCTTCAGTGAAAGAGTTTGAATCAGGAGAGAAATATGCACAGATCAAGCACCGTTCATAAGCCAAAACAGTTTTAAACAAATAAATTGGTGGATTTTGATGAGAGAGGACAACAGCGGATGGACTTTTTCCCTGGAGGAAGCGTTATTATGGAGTACGGACTTAGCCAGAAGCAACGGTTTGAAGTTAAAAACATCTTAATGATGGATTTGTTTCTTACAGACACGCAGCTTTTCACTTCACAAGACATTAGCTGATGGAGTGGAGTGGTGTGGATTACTTGTGATGTTTTTATCAGCTGTTTGGACTCTCATTCTGACGGCACCCATTCACTGCAGAGCATCCACTGCTGAGCAAGTGATGCAATGCTACATTTCTCCAAATCTGTTCCGATGAAGAAATAAACTCATCGACATCTTGGACAGCCTGAGGGGACATTTCCAGCATTTTTCATTTTTGGGTGAACTGCTCCTTTAAATGCAGCAATCTGGACTCTGAGATGATTTACTTATTCCAACAAAATCAATAGCAATTGTGTTCCGCCTTGTGTTTTAGTTCAGTACAACATAAGCTCTATAGACGGCATCTGTGGCACACGGCCGATTACTACAGAAGATCATTTACACTCCACTCTCAGTTTTAGTATCAAAAATTATATCATGCATTGCACTGGGATCAATGCTAAAATACAGACGGTTTTGAATGCATCGTTATCCATGCTAACATGAGACTAGTATGATAGTGTCAGTAATAGATGCAGCTGATATGAGAGTCAAACCTTTGAGCCATTTGTCTGCTGAGGAGAGCATGGTGTTCCTCTGAGATCTGTAAAACTCAATCACCCTGAGGAAGAGCAAAAACTAATGTGAATCATACGCACATCTCAACCTAAACAACACCTGTCCACACACACACACACACACATATAAAGCTTACCAAAGGTCCAACTGAAGTCTATAACAGGTTATAAATATAGAATACAATACAGCCATTAACAACAATTCAATTATACTAAGCAGAACCCTGTGGTCATTTCAATAACAACACAGTAATTTGATTGAACTCAGAGTCATTAATATCATAAATCTCCAGCTCACCCATCAATGTGCTTGAGAAAACCACCTGGACCCCAGTTATGAAGCAGCTGAGAGACCATGAGCTGAAAACACAAAGACTTTTCTGAGTATCATTATACAGTGGATACGCTAACAAGAGGCTTGGTTATTTTGCTTGGGCTTCAGTTTGATTCAGCTGCAAGAAACATAATATGTGACCCTGGAGCACAAAACCAGTCATAAGGATCTATTTTTCTAAATTGAGATGTATACATCATCTGAAAGCTGAATAAATACGTTTCCATTGATGTATGGTTTGTTAGGATAGGACAATATTTGGCTGAGATACAACTATTTGAAAATCTGGAATCTGAGGGTGCAAAAAAAATCTAAATATTGTGAAAATCATCTTTAAAGTTGTCCAAATGAAGTTCTTAGCAATGCATATTACTAATAAAAAATTAAGTTTTGATATATTTACAGTAGGAAATTTACAAAATATCTTCATGGAACATGATCTTTACTTAATATCCTAATGATTTTTGGCATAAAAGAAAAATCTATAATTTTGACCCATACAATGTATTGTTGGCTATTGCTACAAATATACCCCAGCGACAGGTTTTGTGCTCCAGGGTCACATATGGCCTGTATTTTGCAGGTCACAATTAAAGCACCTGTGAATCTCACGCTTGTTTTTCTCACTGATCTCTTCTCCTGAGATTCACGCTGTGAGAAAAATGAACCACCGCTCACCGCCGGGAGCCGAAACACACGTACAGTACAAACACATCTCCTCCTGCTCATAAAATCCACCCCCACACGCAGTGACACATTTCTGTGCTTTTACTGTACGTGTTTAGCAGCTGCGCATTAAAACCAGAACACAAGGCCTGTCATTTACGGATTACAGCTGGAACGAGGAAGAACCCCCGGCTGCTGCTTCAGGAGAGAAACAGGATGGACAGGACCTGTGAGAGGTGTGACCTGTGTGAAGGTGCTGGTGTGCATCGTGGAGGCCTGGATGTGCAGCACCACTCGCTCCACCAGCGGCTTCGGTCCAGTGACGAAACCTATCCGTAAGCTGTCAGGAAAAACAGCACAATACACACAAATGATTCAAGAAATACCACAGTTCAAAAAAAAAAAAAAACTTTTATGAGTGTTTTTATTTTTTGGTACAATATAAAAACTATTGAATAAAATTCTATTTAATTGTACCTTTACATAAATAATTAATATAAATAACATTTATTTATAAATATAGTTAATTCATATAATTGAAATTTTTAGTGTGTGTGTATATATCTTTTTTTATATAATTTTTTACAAAATTATATACATACAGAATTAAATAATATTTTTTATTATATTTTTCACACACACACACACACACACACACATATATATATAGATATATATAAATTAATGTTATTAAATTATATTTATATGAATATAAATTACATAGAAATAATTTCTAAAAGTATGAAATAACTATATGAACATTTTATTAAATATTGTATTAAACTATATATATTTAATATATTAATAATTGATTCATGGTACAACATAAAAATAAAAAAACACACACATCTATACATACATAATATAAATTATATGAATATAAATGATTCATGTTTATATAATTAAGTTGCAAAATATACTTGTTATTGTTATTAAATTATATGAATATTAATTATTTATTTTAAAATTATTTATGGTACATTTGAAAAACTATTGAATAAAATGTTAAATACATTTAGATATAAATAAATATAATTTACATACTAATATACTGTGTTGTGCATAACTGCATTGTGCATAATTAAGAAATATCAATTATTTATTAATTTACTATTAAATGTTGATATATAT